GACTTCGAGGGAGGCTTCCTCAAGAAGTTCAGGGCCAGGTACCCCGACAAGCCCTACATTGCCCTGGAGGACCGGAGGGGCTTCTGGGTGTCGGAGCAATACGGGCGCCTGGGACCTGAGCTGAGTGTGAGTTTTTGCATCCCCCGGCTCTGCGCGTGGCTCTTGTTCCCTCTGTGCCGTGCAGCTGGAGCTCCGGCCTTGTGGGACCCACTGGCCCCCAGCTTGTGGGTGCAGCGCTGGGGAGGGCTGCGGGTGCTGGCCGGATCTCCCACGGAAACACAGGTACAGGTCTGCACGTAGGAGGGCTTCCAGCGGTGCCTCTTTTCCCAGAAATCCAACTCTTTTCATGCACATCTGTCTCTTTTTCCCTGCATGCATGGATGGAGATAGATGCAAGGAAAGGAGATCTTTCAGAACATCTGTTTTAAAATACCCCAAATTGCATAGCTGTTTTTTTTCTAGCTCTGCTTTGTCCAAGCTGCATGGATTGATGCTGTTCCTGGGTGGATTATTAAAGTAAATAATTGCTGAACAGCAACGTGAGGGGTGGGATGCAGCAGGGAAGTTGAGAGCAAACCATGCAATTCATGCTTCGTGTGAGGGCTTGCTTAAAACTGAAACAACCCCAAGCCCTCCATGCCTGAAAATGCTTGTATTCATTTTAATAATTAAAGCCTAAAAGCAGAAGCTCTCTTTATGTTGTACTTTATCGTTCAGTGAAGGGCTGAGCGCTGCATGAAGTCAGTTTCTACCTCTACAGGTTTCCCATCTCGATGGGGTGTCTGTGTTCTCATCTGTGGATTGCAGTTGCACTAGTGGAAAGGAATTACAGCAAATAAAAGTACTCTTGTCCTTGGTGCTATGATGGCTACAAGGAAGGGGGCGTGAATAAGGTCTGGGGCTCTCCCACTGGCAAAGTCCTAAACAGTTTGATGAGCGTCTTCTCTAGCTGGGATTGAGAAAGGGAAATGGAGGACATCATTCATGCAGTAAGGCAGATGCTAAATGTTTGGCAGGGTTAATGCATGATAATTCTTTTTTTTCTTGATCTTAACTACTTTGGATGTGTTAAATGAAGTGAGCTTATCTTGTGTCTGCTGTGATCACGTAAAACCACCAAAACCTTGGGCTGAACAAGTAGGAAAACTTCCACTGACCAACCTCAGGGCAGCTCTGATTTCAGCCGTGGTTTCAGACCAGGGATAAAGAGAGTAGGAGCTGCTCTGTGGCTACGGGCGTATGGGCCGTTCTAGTCTCTCTTCATCAGAGATCACCATCAACCTGCTGGAGGAAACCAGAAAACAGGAGACAAAGAGTCCAACGAGCTGAAGGTCCCAGCTCCGAAAGGGAGAACAACAGCTCAGCAATGCTCAGAGCACACAGACCTGGAAGGATGGGAAGCCCTGGATGGGTAGAGAAGTTGCTCGTGGGGAGAGATAAGAAGAAGGAAACCAAGGGTCTGTCCTACCCGGCATGTGGTGGGATTCCCAGCCTGCGGGATTTTTCCATCTGCTGGGCAGTGTTCTGGCTGCGGTGCCGCGGGGACTTATTCTGGCTCTGGGAGACAAATGGGTCTTTTCTTCAAGATGAGCTTAGTTCTTCCCTCATCGAGCTTGATTGCAAAATGCTTTTTGACACAAGTGGGAGCAGAACAGCTACGGAAGTCCTTGCTGTAAGAAAACACTTCAGCGCAGTTTGAAGTGCTTTGCTGCATCAGGCCGCATTTCTCAGATGTTTCTTGTGCAACTTCAGTCCGCATCTTAAAACATCATTGCTCCCAGGTCTAAAGCAGAGCAACTGGCATTTGAATGTTTGCCTGGCCCCGTGGCAAGCTCTTAGGGTGGCTGTTCTTGTCATGGTGCCAGGAGGCATTTCTGCTGACTCTCTTGCACCAAATCAGCATGTTTCGTTTCGAACACGAGTGAAGAAGGCTTTTCTTCCCTCCTCTGAACCACCGATGTTTTCTGCTGCTCAGGCAAAAAGCAAGAGTGCAACAGTTGATCTGAGTGGTCTTTCCTTTTCAATTGGGTGTCTGGTCTTCTCACGTTACCTGGGATTTTTTGAGAAATACAGGGTTTAATTCTGGCGTGTCGTGTTAAACACTCAGTGCCCAAATGTGTAATGGGTTCCTGTCTTCATCTTCCTGAGAGCAGGCAAGGTGCGCAGCCAGCGTCTTGGCACAGGCAGCTGGCAGGATGAAGCAGAACATGACTCCCCAAGTGTTCCCTGTGTTTGCTCTGGGATGTTGCTGCCCTGAGCCTGGAGTTCCCAGCAAAGCCCCAGTTGCTCATGGTTAGCAACTTTCTTCCCCCAGTACAGGTGTAGTAAAGGCAAAACGTGGTGGTTACCCACTAGATTCACACTCATCAGGCAGGAGGGAGCTGCAAGTCTCGCTGGCATGTCCAACCAGCCTGTTTGTTGCTGTGAGCTCTACGAACTGGCATATAAGCATCCCTGAGGCTGCTCTCCCTATGGCGCCTCCATACTGAGCAATACAAGAAGGCCAAGATGAGCTTAAAATTCCTTTTGTCACTATTCCCCTTCCTCAAACACAGAAACAGAGCAGCTCAAAATCAAGACCGGTGCTTCAGGGCAGGGCTCCCTTCGCAACTTCTCCCCACCACAGCTGCTCAGCTGTGTTGCAACACGCACGTGGCTGCTTCCTCTGCCTGTGGCCGTGTTGCAGCGCTCCCAGGCTTTCCTCCCTGAGGACCCAGCGTCTTTGCCAAATAATCACTTTGTTTGGCATCTGACAAGCCCATTACCTGTTTGAGGGAGTGCAGAGGATGCTGTTCCTTAGAGCCGTGCTGGACCCATTGCGGGCAGTCCCTGGACTCTGCCCTTGTCCCAAGGTCTTGCTCCCTGTGGTCTCTCTCTGCTCTGCTCTCCCGGTGTGCCATACCAGAGCATCTCAGCTGCTGACCTGCATGTTAAGTGTTTCAAACCCTTGCCTGGAGATGCTCTATTTGCCTGGTAGACCTTGCCCAGGCATCCCTGAGGAAGAGCATCTGCATTCATCCTGACATGTAGTTCAACCTGTAATACACTTTCTCCTAGGAGAGCAGCCCAGCTGCTATTTTAAGTGATCTGATTGAGACAAATAGGCCAGGCAGCATCTGGAGCTGAACAGCATCACGTTACAGCAGGGCTACCAGGCCATGTCAGCCAGATCCATGTGGAAATGCCCAGGTGCCCTTCCAGATGCAGACCCAGAGTTTGGTTCAGTTCTGGACAATCTCAGTGTTTTGCCTTGAAGGAATATGCTGCTCCTTCTGTGTCTGGGGCTGCACTGGCAAAACCAAGCCTGCTCCAGAGCATCTTCAATCTAAATTGTATGGGATGGGTGTAGGTTGGGAGGTGGGAAACAGAGGAACCCACAGAGGCAAAGTGGGTTAGCAGGAGGAGACCAGAGCCAGTGCTCCCACCTTTCTCACTGTCACCATCCTCTGTCCTAGCAAAGGGTGGGGAAGATGCACATGCAAGGAGAAGAACAGTAAGAAGCCCTGTACAATAACTACTTTCTTCCCCCTCACAGGAGAAAGCCATCAGCATCTGGGAATCCAAGAATTTCTTCATCGAGCTGGACCCACTCCCTGGGGCTGTGGAAGCTGTGAAGCAAATGGCAAATTTGGCAGAGTGAGTAGGGACGTGCCTGTGGTATTGGGGAATGGACGGGGGAGCAGCAGTGGCTTTGCAGGCTCAAGCTCCTCTCAGCAGAAGCACTGAATACATCAGTGTTAAAAATGCCAACCAGCCTGCCCGGCATGGGAGGAAAGAGGGGGCTTTGGCTCCTGGAGCAGTTGCCAAAAAAATCAGCCATGTGCAGCCCCTTTCCTTCAGCTCTCTGTTTCCAGCAAGGGTGACGAAAAGGGGAACTTGTGCTGCGGGTGTGAGATCCTGCGAGATGGGGGATTAACATCTTAAATCACCCCAGTTTGATCTGTGTGTGGCGGGGGATCTGCTTTGGGCACCTGCCTGCTCAGGCACCGAGCAGGGTCTTGCAGAGACAGCCAGGTGCATCTCAAGGGGGAGCAGGGTCTGATCAGCGTGCTTGGACTGACACTCTGCTCCCATTTCTCTCCTCATGGCAGCACCGACGTGTTCATCTGCACAAGCCCGATCAAGAAGTACCGCTACTGCCCTTATGAGAAGGTGAGCCAGTCCAAATCCCAGCTCCCCCTCCCATACCGCACTGCCTGGCGAAAGCCCGCCGACCCTCACGTGCCTCTGGCTGTGAAACAGCAGCGAGGTTTCCCTGCTCCACCAATTTTGTTCCCGAGCATCTTCGCAGAGTGGCAGCTCCGCCGTCGGCCGAGCTCTGCCATTTGCGTGCACTGAGACACTTGGTCTTAATATTTCATCACGATGTCAAAAGCTGTTTGGCTTTAAAAGAACTTGTGCTCCAGCAGCATCCGAATCCTTCCCACTAATGAACTTACTAAGTGGGATGTCCTCCCTGCGTGGAGGCCAGGGCTCGTGCTGGGCTCTGCTGCCTCTCTGCCAAGCAGCCCCTGCCCCATCCATCAGCCTTCCCGTGCCCGCGCTCACCGCTCGTCCCTCGCCTTCCAGTACGCCTGGGTGGAGAAGCACTTCGGCCCCGAGTTTCTTGAGCAGATCGTTCTGACACGAGATAAGACGGTGGTTTCTGCTGACCTGCTTATAGATGACAGACCTGATATAACAGGTAAGGGAGGTGCGGAGTGGGCAGGGAAGACCGGAGGTGGTATAGGGGTGATGGGAGCTGATCCCTCTCTGCTTGATTAGGTTCTCATTAGGGGTTTGTGTCTGCAGGTTCCTCATGTTGGAGTAAGGTCAACCTCTGTGTCTTGCAGAGTTGTCCAGAGAACCAACCTCTCTCCTTGCTTTGCAGGGGCTGAGCTGAACCCCAGCTGGGAGCACGTGCTCTTCACCGCCTGCCACAACAAGCACCTGCCCTGCAGCTGAACCCCCCCAGCCGCAGGCTGCAGTCCTGGACCGACGACTGGAAGGCCATTCTGGACAGCAAACGCCTGCCACCCGGCCAGGCTGCCTAATTGTCAGCCTCCTGCGGCCGCCCAGGGCTGTGGCCACCTGCTCGTGTCCCTGCAGAGTCCGGCTGAAGGCTGAAACCGTGGATGGACAGACAGATGGACGTTGACCCTGCTGCGGAGAGGAAGAGGACGGTGAGCTGACGCACCGTGGCCAACTGGACCTGGAGAACGGACCTCAGCCTGGCTGTGCCACCAGGGACCTGGCAGCCTGGCCAGGGGACGTTTCTCATCAGCTCTGGACGTCTCTGTGCTGCGTGTGTGCTCCCCCACGAGGCCAGCCCGTCGTTTGACAGACGAGGTCACCCTCAGCATGTCACTGCCCTTGTCCGGTGCGCTGCGTGGCACCGACCTGCTCTCCATCCTCTGCGTTGCAGTTGGGGATGGCACAGGATGGCTTGATGCATCCTCACAGGGCTTCATCCTGAGGGACTGCCTTGAGGGACGTTTCCTTCCTGGCTGGTGCCAGGCTCTGGGGAGAGGGGCAACTGGAGGGGCAGGGGTACCCGGCAGATGCTACCCAGGCTCCCTGCACTGCCTCAGCTGTGCCATTCCTTGCAGCTGATGCAATGGGGCGGCTATGTACTTCCCTGCGGGAAGAGTCCCTGCAGTGGGATATCGGGATGGTACCACTCCTTGCATGGATCTGGCCGTGGGCAAGTAGCCCTGAGGCACTGTCACACCCCAGATGTAGCTGTCCTCCCGCTGGTGGGAGGGATCCCCACCTGTCCTCATCCCTGAGGAGCTGCTGCAGCTTTAGAGCTGATTTGGGATGAAGAGAGGGGCTCTCCTTCCACCTGCTCATCGCCTGCGGGCCGCTCGCCCAGGGCATTGCTGGAGCAGGTAGCGGCAGTGCCAGCACCAGCCCTTCCTGGGAGCCGGGCAGTTCCTGCAGGAGCTCATGGCTCTCCCTGCCAGCTGGTGATCGGACGGTAGCTCCTTGGATTTCAAAGCCAAGAAGGTCTGCACACACAGGCTGCGTGGTCAAATCACCCCACCTCCCTCCTCCTGGTAGTGCCCGATATCAGCCTGCCAGGAAAGCTCTGAGTGTGCTTCCACACAGAGGCTTCTGGGTGCTGCATCCCACCGGGGTCAGGCACTGGGACAGTCGATGCCACAGAGCATCCTAAAGCCTTCGGTGCAGAGCCACCTGGGAAGATGGTGCTGGGTGGAGAAGGGGGGGCTGGTGGAGGAGCTCCAGCATCGCTGAGAAGTGGGTAGAGCAGAGGCACCAGGGGTGTCCATAGGGCAGGTTAAGGGGTGTGTTGGTGGAGGATTGCCACGGCCACGGATGCTGTTTTCAGTCCTCACATACCACAAGGGAAGAGGTTGGGGGCACGTTGCTGTTAGAGGCTGGGGAGCCCATCAGAGGTGCCCATGAGGCAGTATCACAGGCTTAGTTCATTCTGCAGCTGCCCATGGCTCTGCCGCTGTCCCGGCTCTGGATGTCTGGGGACAGAGCGTGCTGCCGGCCCCGCTCACCCCGTGCTGGGATTCCTGCAGTGAGGTGTTCGGTCACCTGGCTGGTGCGAAGAGGTGTGTGGGCCCGCCCGCCAGTGCCGGATGGCCGTGCTGGGGCTGCTGAGCTCTGGGAGCGGCCGGTGCTGCTGGGAAGCTGCAGCTGGGCACCGAAAAGGGAGCGTTTGGACCAAGGGGCAGCTCCAAGAGGGATGCTTTATGCATAACTGTGCCCACAGCATCTTGCTCCCCTGCCCAGCTTGTTCCTGCCTCCCCGAGCCCTCACCACCCCGGCCTTGAACTGCAGTGCGTGCTGGGGCTGCTGAGCTCTGGGAGCGGCCGGTGCTGCTGGGAAGCTGCAGCTGGGCACCGAAAAGGGAGCGTTTGGACCAAGGGGCAGCTCCAAGAGGGATGCTTTATGCATAACTGTGCCCACAGCATCTTGCTCCCCTGCCCAGCTTGTTCCTGCCTCCCCGAGCCCTCACCACCCCGGCCTTGAACTGCAGTGACCCAGCTGGCACCGGCTGCGGCACCCCAAAAACACCTTTTTTCAGTGTTGGAGAAGAGCTGTCCCAGCTGCTGGGGAGAGCCAAGCTCGTGCTGGGCTGCCCCGGGCAAAGCCCCATGGACACACTGGGAGCATCGGGACCGGTGTGTGCCTTTGTCACTGCTGACTCAGCGGAGGATAAGCAGCCCCTGCTCCTGCCTGCGCCCACGGCATCCAGCATCCCACCGCGTGCTCCTGCTCTCCTGGCCTGAAGACTTGCTGGCTGCGGGAGGAAAATTCCCCACTGGGACATACAGCCCCATGGGCGGGGGTGGTAGCCAGGGCCTGGCTGGGGTTAGCCACCCTGCACTGCTTGCTCATGCCTTTGGCTTGCCTCTCCTCTCTCCTGTGGGCCCCCTGTCAGCAAAAAACTATGTGAGCTCAAAGCCACATAGCCAACAAATAACCCACGGCAGCAGCAGCAGCCGGCCCCCCGCCGTGTCC